ACAGGCCACACAGCACCACACAGCCATGCCTCCAGGCACCAAAGGGAGGTTCCCACACCCGGAGCTTGGCGGGCAGAAATAAAATAGCAAAAGTTCTACTCATGTTTACATCTATCTTAGCCTTTAAAGGTGCCTGTGTTCTAAGCTCTCTCAGGGCTTTGTAAGCTACACAGTGTCAGCCATGCAGCCAGCCCTGACAATAGTGAGAACTGGTAAGCATTTTGGAAAAAAGGTAGAGCTGGATCGTGCTCACTCTTTATACCAAAACTAGAAGTCTGGTGCACAAAATTTATAATTTATGCATTCCCTCAGCCCAGCATGCACCCTCGGATGGTCTGGGAGCCCTGTGATCAACTTCCCCCAAAACATAGACCCCGCCCACTCCACCGATGCTCCAGGATGGATCACTCCCACAGAGGGAGGCCCCACCCACCCACCACACCCCACAGGCCTGGGCCTCCCTCTGCAGGGCAATCATGGGGTAATGGCCGGGCCCCTGACCAATCGCATTGCACCTGGCCTGGCACCAGTGGGTGTCATAGCATGGTTGTCCGGACGGTCGTTCCACTGGTTGGCCATTCAGTTGATTTGCATATTATGTTTTTATTATTATGGATGACTTCAAAGTTGTAGGCATAGCCCTAGTGGGTTTGGCTCAGTGGATAGAGCATTGACCTGTGGTCTGAAGGGTCCCAGGTTCAATTCCAGTCAAGGGCACTTAAAAAAAAAGTTGTAGGCAATGAAAGTGAAACTGCAGCCCTAGCCTGTTTGGCTCAATGAATATAGCATCAGACTGGAGACTGAAGGGTTCCAGGTTCAATTCCAGTCAAAGGCACATGCCTGGGTTGTAGGGTGGATCCCCAGTTGAGACATGCAAGAAGCAGCCAATCAATGGTTCTCTCTCATCATTGATGTTTCCATCTCTCCCTCTCTCTTCTTCTCTGATTTCAATAAAAATATTTTTTAAGAAAAAAGAAAGTGAAACTGCAAGAAACTGGAAGAAAATAAGGATGTGGAATACACCCACACAAGGTTATAGATAACAGTAGAGGCCCGGTGCATGAATTCGTGCACTGGCGGGGTCCCTTAGCCTGGCCTGCGGGGATCTGGCCAAAACTGGCTCTCCAACATCCCTGAAGGGTCCCGGATTGTGAGAGGGCACAGGCCAGGCTAAGGGATCCCACCGGTGCACAATCAGGGCCTAGGAGGAACTACAGGAGGACTCCAGGGCTTGTCCAGCCCATCTCGCCCAGTCCCAATCTGCAGGACCTTAGCAGCAAGCTAACCTAGTGGTCAGAGCATCTGCCCCCTGGTGGTCAGTGAGCATCATAGCAACCAGTCAAATGGTGGAAGGAACAGTTGGACACTTAGCATATTAGGCTTTTATTATATAGGATGACCTTGCGGGAGGATTAAACTCTAAAGGAAAGGATAATTACAACTTGTAAAGTTAGAAATGTGACAATTCTGTGTGGCAAAGCACCATAAAAATTTTTATTTAATGTTGAGCTGGGAGAAAATTTTGCAACTGTGAGAGTAAATAAAATGCTAATTGCTCAGTATAAAGGACACTTACCAACCCAGGCAAAGAAAACCCAAGAGCAAGTCTAATGGCAGAATACCCTTCAGGCCATGGGCTGACGCTCTTATCCACGGAGCCAAACCAGCTAGGGCCCAAATGACTTTTTTTAAAAAAATGCCTGTGATTTACTGAAGCCAATGTCACCCCAAAAAATTCAATAAAAACTAAAAATAAAATGGGGAAAATCCCTGTGCTTTATAATGTAATATATTGGTTCAGTAGTTAGATACAGTTTCTCAATACAACACGTGGCAGAGGTGCCTGTTGAACTCTTCTTAGGAACAAGAGTGTTCAGTTGAAAAATGGGGAAACCATTGCCTTCCACCACCTCCTCAGGCTCTTCCTGCTTCCTGGGCAGGTGGGGGGAGAACCTGGGGGCAGCCACTCACCTCCATTTTGCCCTCCTGGGCAGCCAGCTTCAGGGGTGTAAGGCCCTGCCGGTTGGGGATATCCTCGAGCCGCAGCGAGGGGTAGAGGCTGGCCCCAGCGTGGAGGAGCCTGTCGTACATGTGGGTCACCAGAGCGCTGTTCTCAGCCGAGTTGTCTGCGATCATCACCAGCGCGTGCAGGACCGTGTTGCCCAGCGAGTCGGCCTCGTCCAGGTTGGCAGGCTTGTGCTGGTTCTCCAGGAGGTAGGCCACCACATCCCACTGGTTGGTGCAGGCCGCCAGCGAGAGGGGCAGCTCACCTGGGGGCCAAGGGGCAGCGCTCACCGCCTACTCTTCACACTCCCGGACAGAGGCCAGGCCTCGTGGAGGCCGGCCAGGCACCCGGGGGAAAGGATGAAGCACTGGCCCGAGGTCCCAGCCCCGCTGAGGGCGGCTGTGCCTTCTGCGAACACTGGTGACGGCAGCTGTACCCGTTCTGACACAGGAAGAGGGGACCAACCGCTGCCATCGGGAACAGCACGGGGCCAGCCACCAGGGTCCCCTTCTTCCCTGCCTCTTCCTCTCCTTCAGCAGCGCCCAGGCCCGCTGCTGCCTGACGGAGGTGCGCTCAGCCAGGCCCTGTCTGCTTGACTTGGGCCACATGCCAGTTCGAGCAGCATCCCCAGCCCTGGCCCGCTGGGGGATGTGGCCAGACAAGGATAAACATCTCTTAAGACTAACTGCTTCTGCAGGCAGCCTGGGGGTTGGCAGCATGGGCCTCAGGGGTAGACAGAGCTGGTTTTAAGGGCCAGCTCCACCACCCATTAACCGTGTGCCACCCGCTCCGCCCACCAGACCTCGCTTTAATCAAGACTCCTCACCAAAATAAAAACAAGTGCCTTGGCTTTTCCTCTGGAAGAAGCGGCCGCAGGCCCGGGCATGCACGTCGGCACCGTTCTCCACCAGGAGCCGCACGCACTGCAGGCTCCTCTTCTCGATGGCGATGTGCAGGGCGCTGTGGCCTCGGTAGTACTCGTCTGTGCACTGGGCGTTGACCAGAGGCCTGGGGTTGCCCGAGTCCCGGTCGATCTGCAGCAGCGGCAGGATGCAGGCATTGGCCCCTTTCTGAAGGTTCAGCACGGCCTTCATCAGGCACGTCTTCCCGGTGGAGCCCTCTGTGGGGGGAGGGGAGGGCGAGGGGCACGAGGGTGCTCAGACCTGGAGCAGCTGGGCCCAGTGCCACAACGCCCCTCGGGAGGACAGATGCCACACGCGGCTGGTGGGAGCCAGCCATGGTGCTGGGGATTACGGCCCGGGGATACAGCTTCTGCCCTAGAAATTGTCCTCAGACAGAATTTGTCACGCGTGCAGCGTGGTCTGTGCAATAACATTGGGCACAGCGCTTGTTAAGCGGCTTCCCCGCTCAATGGCTCTGTCTCCTCATTTATTTATTTATTTATTTATTTATTTTGAGAGAGAGAGAGAGAAAGGGAGAGGAAGAGAGAGAGAGAGACAAACATTGATTGGCTGCCTCCTGCACACTGCCTACTGGGATCAAGCCCACAATCCTGGCATGTGCCCAGACTGGGAATCGAACCTGTGAACTCTCAGTGCATGTGACCACTTCAACCAACTGAGCCCCATCGGCCAGAGCCACATAACATATTTAAACAGTTTGAAAAGATGTATCCCAAGCCATCGACAGAGGTCCAGGACAACAGACGTTTTACCCTCAGCTTTATACATTTCATTGCTATTTTAATCTTCTAGAACACAAGTTATCTTTCTAATTAGCCCCAAATAATAAAGATATTTAGATTTGGGGTAAAGAATGCTCTGAAATGGGTGAAGTATATGATATGTGTATTATCTATAAATATAAAAGCCTAATGTGCAAATTGGCCCCGAGGGAGTTCGACTGGGAGACCAATCGCTAACTCTGATGTATGCTGAACACCAGGGGGTGGCACAAAAAGAAAGAAGGCCCCTGGCAGCTGGGAAAGGAGGCCCTGGCCAGCAGCCAGAAGGCCCTGATCAGCCCTGATTGCTGGCCAGGCCTAAGGATCCTACCTGTACATGAATTTCGTGCACTGGGCTTCTAGTCCTATATAATAAAACCCTAATATGCAAATTGACTGAATGGCAGAATGACCGGTTGCTATGACGTGCACTGACCACCAAGGGGCAGACGCTCAATGCAGGAGTTGCCCCTGGTGGTCAGTGTGCTCCCACAGGGGGAGCACCACTCAGTCAGAAGCCAGGCTTTCAGCTGACAAGCACAGTGGCAGTGGCATGAGCCTCTCCCACCTCCGCTGCAGGTGGGCAGTAAGGAGTGAGGGGTCCTGGACTGCGAGAGGGCACAGGCCTGGCTGAGGGATGCCCCCTGCCCCCCTGCCCCGTCCCCACTGCACAAATCTTGGGCACTGGGCCTCTAGTGTCTCAATAATGCTATTATTTAAAAAGATCAAAGAAAGAAGGAAGGAAGGGAAAGAAAGAGAGAGAGACAGAGAGAAAGAAAGAAAGAAAGAAAGAAAGAAAGAAAGAAAGAAAGAGAGAAAGAGGAAGCATTGAGGATGCCCACAAGTACCCATGCACCCGGGTGCCAGTGGGGTGGTGGGAAGTGGTGGGCACAGCCATGATAGGGAGGTAAGTGGAGCCCTTGGCTCTGTCAGCAGGGCACCCTGCAGCCATTCCTGCAGGAGGGTCTGCTGCTAAGAACGCTCCCCTTAAAAAATAAAAATAAAAAAGGAAAAGGAAACTCCCACCCCTTGTCTTCTCCTGACCATGGTCAGGACCCACCAGCCAGCACAGTCCCAGCACAGCCACGGACCCGGGCTCTGCGAAGGGCAGGCCTACCTGTGTACTCTGGGTCGGTGAGGTACTTGCTGGTAGTGCGCAGGTACTCCAGTAGCCCCGCCAGGTCCTCGGAGTCACCCCGGGCAGCAGCGCTGAAGAGCCGGTCACGGTCAAAGTGGTTTAGGGCCAGCTGTCTGCAAGAATGTGGTTGGTGACTGATGCTGTGAAAGGGCCACACCCCCAGAAGGAGCTCAACCCGGGAGCCCTTTCAGGAAGCCCCGTGAGCACTGCATGCTGGTAACCATGAGAGCCCCCTTCCCAGAGCAAACCGGGAGACCCCGGGCCTAGAGCCCAGGAGCAGGGGTAGGGGCTGCCTGGAGAGGGGGGCCAGGACCCATGTCTGTGTCTCCAGGCATCACAGCTGTTCTCAGCATCGGTCCTTGTCATTTGCAAGGTGCCCGGATGATCTCTCAACAGGCTCACTATCCCACAGGGTGGGTCTCGGCATAGGGACTTGTCGTGGCCCCTGAGCTAGAGTCAGGTCAGGACAGGGCTGGGGGAGGTGCCCCTGACCATCAGGGCTGTGCGCTTTACTGGCCTTGACAAAGGGGTCGAGGAAAGTCCCTCCTCCTCCCAGAAACCATGTTTGGACAAGTAATGCAGTATCTGCACCCACTTCAGCCTGGGGGTCAGGAATCACGACCTTCTCTTTTAGACAAACAAGGCAATACAGTAACTTCCCCAGTCACATGATGCAGAGCCCAGGGCTCCCCGGGGCCTGTCTATCCACCTCCAGCCCCTGACTCACAGCCCCAGAGAGACTCTAGGCTGGCAGACAGCGGCTTCTCAGAGACACGTGGGCCCTGCACCGGGCCGAGCAGATGCTCACTGGAGCCTGGCTGAGAAGCCACACTTCCGGGAAGGACCCAGAAGGGCCTTTTAATCTTCAGAATCTCGCAGTGTCTGGTGACAGGAAAGGGAAGGACTGCCCCTCCTGGACTCGTCGCTATTCACAGAGACCAGCTTATCCTTGGGACCCCGGGCACCACGACCAGCAGATATGAAGGGACAGACAAAGGGACTGTTACGCTTTAGGGACCCTCAGCTCCTAGCTTCACAACTCCCGTAGGATGGGCCAACCAAGTGATGGCTGGGCACCGAAGAGAGGGGATTGTTGGGATCAGTTGTGTTTTAAGTCATAGCCACGTGACTGAGAGGGCCAGACTGCCTCCGCCACACCAGGAAGCTGCACTTCTGCCTTGCCTGGCCAGACACGCCGTCATCTGCCCACAGAGCACGTGGCCACAACATGACCAAGGGCTCTGCAACTGACTAGGGAGCCCTGCGGGGAGCCTAGACCAGGGAAGTGTCTATTTGGACAAAGTACTTCCTTTCTCAGGGTGACATCACAGTCTTAGGGTAGGAAGCCCCTCAGGGGCACAGGTTGAGAAACCAAGGGCTTCGAGGGGCCCATTCTGCCTGTCGGGCTGGCTACCCAGCTCCCAAAGCCTCGTGCGCAGCCTGTCCTGTCTGGGTCTGCATCTGTTTGTGGGCCTCCAGCACAGGCAGCATGGGGGCTCTGGGCTGGGAGGCAGGGGTGGAGGCCACGTCCCAGGCATGAGGAGGAAGGAGGGGCTTCCCTGGCAGAGTCCCACCCAGACCACGGAGAGTCTCCTGGTCAGACCTTGTATGTCAGACCTCACACTGGGGGGAGGACAG